GACGACCAACCCCACCCCTGTGATAAGCAGCAATCGCTCCCCACTACAGGCGAGGTCTCAACATGATTACGACATCATCCTCTTTTTCGGTGATAGTGTAGCCATCGCCATTTTTCAAGAAAAATGACATCATCTCGTTGTGGACCAGGAACCAAGTTCCAGCACGAGCCTCACTATCACCTACAAGGCTCACATCTTTCATGAATATCAAGACACAATAAAGACTATGTATTACATATAAACTTATTATATTTATTAAACCATGTGCCTACGGAACGAATACTTATCGTTCAGGAAGCCACATGTTACACACAAAGTCATAACTTTGCACAAATAATTCACACCCATCCTTCACAAACAAAACACATTCAACATAAGAAATAAAGGAGATGCATACTCAGGCAATCATTCTTACAAGGTTTGAAAAAAATCATTATGCACATCAATTATCTTGCTAAAAAACGAAGAATAATGACAAAAATGACGTCAACAAGTAATTCATTACAAGTCCATATGTGTCTATCCATTACATGGAAAATATATCTTACAGATACTTAATCATGAAATCAAGTTAGCCAGAGGTATCAATGTCTGTTGAGAAAAGTAAGGCATTATTTATAGTCCCTATGGACAAACTTCTTCAAGCGTGAGCCTGAAACCCAATCTCGCCCACGTGCTCCATCCATTTCCTCAATCTCGTATGTGTAGCATGTCGTCCAAACCATAACGTAACAGGAGCATACCCAGTATTCCGTTTTACGGTTATGTTTTCAACAAATATGGCTGCCCTAAGATAAATGGGTCATCTTAACGGCTTGCCTGCACACCATTTTGCTAGCAAATTAGTCAAGGTGGCGTGACCACGTTCGACCGGAGCATTGGCCTGGGGGTGCGCTCTAGTAGTATAACTATAGTTCACTCCCAGTCTTTTCATGAGAGCCTGAACCTCTTCTGCCCGAAATTCACCGCCTCGATCCATCACAAATTCCCGAACAAATGGATACTGAAGGTAAAACTCTTCGATACATTCTGCCAAGATCTTTCCGGTTCGTTCACGGATTGCATGCCCATCAACAAACCCGGTAAGATTATCTCTCACGTCAAAAATGTATCTGTACCCATTAAGCCCGGGTGGCATAACGACCAGGTCGAGGTGCACAACCGCCCCTGGCTCAACCACATATCGTGGATTAAGTGGCTCAGCATAACGGAGATTTGAACGTTTCTGACAAGGAGTGCAAGAGCTGCAGAACTCCGCCACCATCTTACCCATACCATCCCAAAAATAGAGATGTTGGATCTTTCTTAATGTCACTCGTGCGGATCGATGTCCMCCTGCCACTCCATCATGTAGAGCCGCAATCACCTCCAATTGCCTGGAAACCCCACATACCACTCTCTTAGGCATTCCATCGTCAGACTTTTTGAAAAGATGCCCTTGTCGAATGATAAAGTCCTTTGCCTTTTCTCTTATTTCTGGCTCTATCTCTGCCTCGTTCAGATCCCCATTCAACCAAAGCCCAATCTTCTTATAGATCCCATCATATTCCTCCTCACTAAAGGCTTCTTTGATCTCATTGCCTTCCCCTTTTTCCAACATTAGCTTACCGTGATCTTCCTATATCAACGAATTAACGAGAAATACCATTCCTCCAGAAATCATGAGGACTTCGTCGCCTTGCTCATGTCCCCCTTCAATCGTAAGGGGTTCTTCCGAAAGTTGTACTGGGTCAGACAATGCCAACCTTATCATTTGTTCCGCGAATCGTTCGCCCTAGCGATCCTCCTCAATAAAGGGCTCTATCATCACAAGTTCTCAATGCTTCTGATAACAACTCGGAGAACTCCAGATAGACTTCCCAGGTCGGGACGATCCACAGGAACCGAGTCTTCTGCCTGATCTTTCGAGGAGTCCCACTCGATCCGACTCAGTCCATCCGCTCGATTTTGTGCTCCTGCAATGCGCTCGATCTCGAAATCGAACATCCAGATGTAGATCAACCATCGAGTGATAGTTGGATCCGAGGGGGAATAATTCTTCAGTGACTGCGCCAAGGCGGTCGGATCAACCCGCAGGACGAACCATCTTCCAAACACGTAATTTTGGAAGATCCTGAAACAATGAAGCACTGCAATGGTTTCCCTCTTAAATTGGGAATATTTCCTTTCCGCCTCATTCAGCGTTCGACTCTCAAATCTCAATAACCTTTATCGCCCTTCTCCATCCTTTTGGATGAGGACACCACCCAATGCTGTGGGGCCTGCATCCGTTTCAACCACAAAGGGCCGATTCGGGTCATTGTCAAAGCACGGAACCCCCTGGATCAATCCTCCTTCTCGGAATCGTGCCTTGATATCGTCAACTCCCGCCTGCTGCTTTGGACCCCATTCCCATTCTTGATTTTTACGCACCAACTTCCGTAGATGCTCCACCCTTGCTGCAAACTTGTGAATGAAGATGCGCCAGAATCCGCAAGTCCCCAAGAAACTGCGCACATCAGTGATGGACTTAAGTGGAGTCGGCCATTCCAGAATCTTGTTTGTCTTCTTGCAATCTGGCCGACGGCCCTTCTCATCGCACAAGAAGCCCAAGATAGTTGCCTCACGAATACAATGTCGAGATTTGACACCGCTGACGGTGAGGTTGTACTCCTTCAGCTTGGATAGGACCTTCTCCACGTTACGAACATGCTCCCAAACAAACTTTCGAACACCTGGCAGCACCTCCGTCTCGTCCTTGACACGTGGCCCAGGTATGGCCAGATCATCGATATAAGGTAAGGTCACGTCCGGACAAAGCGGCTGCATGACTCTCATCATATATCTCTGAACGATTGCTACGGCGTTTGTCCATCCTTGAGGCGCCTCGCACATATGAATCAATCCCCTCGGCGTATGCATGACCGTCATCGACCTGTCTGCCGTATAGAGAGATAATTTATCATATCCTGAGTACAAGTCAATGAGAGTGATGATAGGTCTGTCTGCGCACGACTCAGACAGCTGATCAGCATGTGGAAGTCCTCCGGCATCACGAACCGTCACTGAGTTCAGCTGCTGCAAGTTTTGCACCCATCGTAATACGTCACTTGGCTTGATGAAACAAAACCAAGGGGACGCATATGGTCCATATGAGTAATCCGCGACCTTTGTCCGAATTTTACCGTCCAGATATTCGACAACTCTACGATGATCATCCGGATTCGGATAACGCGGACCTCATATGTTCCACTGCTCGTTAGGTACCGTATGAAACCTAATCATTGGAATCATGTCAACGTCAAGCCTCCCTCGCTCATCATCATCAAAGGCATAAGCCAAGTGGGTTTTCTTCATGACGCTGACAAGGAAGTTCACCTCCCTCTCAGTAAGAAACCCTTCCTCTCCAATGATCATATCTTTAACCCTCTCCTCCGTCAATCGACACGGCGCCTTCGCACTTCTTTCGTTTCTCATCCTGATTCATTCTCTCTCTTCTTTATAATACACTTCTTCTTCTCGTGTGATCAAGACGGACATTGGCCGAGCTTTCTCGCCTACTCTCTTGTACTTACATTTTGCTCCAACTCAAAGTCGTCCGCCTCTAAAAAAAGCCCTTGCTTGGCTGCTGGCTCCGTCAATACATCACCTTCCGAAGACCTGTCGGGCCGATAAGTAAGATACATTTTATCAGTCCCACCTTCTCCTGCCACAATCTCTGTCAGCGTTTGGACCAACTTGGGGTCCACGGACGAGTCTGTCGCAACGAACTCGATCCCTTGAGAGATGTTGGGCAGAGCAAGAGAAAATTCATGGGGATCGCTCTCTTCTCCGAGGGATCCCTTCTCTCTCCCGAGTCTTTCGGATTCCGTGAAGGAGTAGGACCCCGGATTGAGTCGGTTCCTTGAATTGGTCGGTCCTGTGTTCTCACACTTCATCACCTCGTAATAGCTGCATACGGGGTCACACAAGACCACGATCACAGTACCATCATGCTTGTTGAAGATGATGGATTATGATCGACATAGGAAAACTCTGCCCAGTAACACGGCATGCTCAACCCTGGGTAGCACATAGAAATACGAACGGACTTTAACTTTACCAACTTGTATCGTCACGTCACTCACCGTTCCGCAAAAGGGAGTTATCCCACTTGCACCCACAAAAAATCCAGTATTCGCTCGATTGATGTTGACGCCTGCCCCAAGGGCTTCTCTATCACGTATGATGTTCATCTCAGCTCCATCGTCGATGAGCGCCGAGTATTCGCACGGCCCAACTTGCACTTTCAACAACCCAGTTGCTACACAGTGCCAATCCATTTTTGTCCGAGGAGGAGCCCAACTAATCTCCTGGGGAAAGATATCACTCATCTTAACCGTCATGACCTTTTTCCTTGACAATCGGTGCCTAAACTCTTCTCGGATTTTGGGTGACGCAGCCATGAACTCCTTGAGCGTGAACAAATCATGCTGACTTTCCAAAATCCGATCCACGATTTGCTCAATATCCAGCCCTTGTTCTACTATAATTTTGTAGACTTGCTTCTTCTTTTTCAGCTCTCCTTCCCCAACATCGGCCTTGCCCGTTTCTGGCTCCCTCTCCATGACCCGTTGTTTGGCCTGCCGCTCATCCTCGGCCCTCAACAATTCGTCCTCCTCGCCATCGTCTTCTTCAATCGGAATTGTCTCGGTTTCCCGAGGCTGACTTGGCCCTTCTTCTGGTGTTGCCCTTGTCCGTGGCGGCTTCCGAGCCCTCCGAGCCTGTGGGAGACCAGCAGTGGTAGGTCGCTTGAAAGCAGGATGGGACAAGACTGTGGTGACTATCAAACGCCCTACCGACGGCGATCCAGGCTGTGATGTGGTAACATCAGTAAGACCTTCTGACCGTCTCTGTCCCATCCACCAAACAGAAAAACTTGGGGAAGCCCGGGCCACTCTTCATTCATGTTGGCACATACTTGAACAAAAACTTCCCTGCATCGAGTCATTTTTCTGACCACTGTCTGAGCTCGCTGCAGTATCCTTTCCTGCTCTTTGTTAAACCCTTCATCTGCGGTCTTGGCATCTTCAATTGTCAATGACTCCATTGCCGCTTCCAACTCAATCTGTTCGACTTCTTCCGGGGAAGCAAGCCAAAACGTTGCTGGAAGATCTCGCCCAATACGTCGAAAAACTTCCTTTCTCATTCCTCCTTCCACATTGGGATCGATAAGGTTCCCTTCGAAGTCGTAGACCTCGCCTCAGTTATTCGTATATATAACCTTATCGTTTTCATCTTTGGTAACGGTCTGACAAAACCATATCCCATGCCCATCTTGTCCGCAGTACTTGCAAAACCAATTCTGCCAATTGCCTCGGCCGCCCCCATTTCCTCGACCTCCCCCAATGCCTTGTCCTCTACCTCGACCTCGGCCTCCTACCTGAGGTTGGGGTTGCTGAGGAGGGGCCTACGCCGCCTGTTCCTGGTTGCTTCCTTGTCCACCTCCTCCATTATTCTTCCGCTGCTTTTTACTAGTGCCTTGCCCTCCTCGTATCTGATTCAGGGTCTTCCGTTCTGCCTTGGTCAATTTTCGAGGGGGCTCCACTTCCTCCTCGTTTTCCTCTTCACTGCTGCTACTACTCACTTCCTCCACAACGGGTGCTTTCCCCTTCCTTTTTCCCTCTTTCGTCTGGACCATCATCACTTGTAGCTTTAACCTTTCCTCCTTCATGTCAACCATCATGTTCCGCATATCAGTCAGGGTTTTGTAAACGGCCTGATCCTTGTCCGTGCTTACCCCTTCCTTCTCGCGGTCCTCCTTTTGCTGCTTTAGGAGACGGTAAAGCATCTGGTCGAAGCTTCCAGCCAACAGATTTTCCTTGATCTTTGGCCAGTCGTATCGCCCAGTCATATCCTTCATCAATTCCCGCCGCTCAACTTATGAAAAGTTTTCGAGGAAGATGAGGCACCGATCCTTATCAGGAAGATCAGGCACTAAGCGCGCGACTCGTTCAAATTCCGTGAGAAACTGCTTGGCCTTACCAAACTTCTGACGACTAACTTTCGTAAAGTCCGCTAGGTCGAGCAGTTGATCCCCCAGTTGGTACTTGTTCAATAACTTGGCTTTGAAGTCCGGCCAATCGCGTGAGGTTTGCACCAACTCCGACACTTCTTCTTTGTACTCGACCATACAATATCGCTTCACCATTTGAAGCATCTTTTCACTCGTCCATTCACAACAGCTGCCCAATTGCTCAAACTTGTCCACCCATGCTGAGGCATTGGTGCCATCGAAGAGGGGAACTTGAACTTTCGGCAGCTGCGCCTTCTGATTATCAGCCTCTCGAATGACCCGTGCGAGTTCCGGAATGTCATTGCGTCGATCCCCTGCATTACTATTCGCGGGATCAACACTTCCTCCCGTCATCTTTAGAGAATCAACACGACAAAACCCACACGACTAAGTGTCAATTAGGTTCCAACAATTCACTCCAAACCTTGCCTTCTTTTCTTTTTCCAAACATTGATAACCACTGACTACTTTCAATCCAAACAAACAACGCACAACAATTAAAATCGCTATAACCATCATTTTTTCCAAGTGTCGTTCCACCAGGGACAAAAGTAATTTGTCGTCATCCCCGGCAACGGCGCCACCTGTCGAGCGCATCGGCCCCCGCGTGAGCGAGGGCCCTCCCGGCTATGTCACGCAAGAGCTAGAACAAAACAAAATCAAGAGACAACTTAGGACGATGCAATAATAATCTCGTGAACCGCCGAAACGGACGCAGTTGCATTGTCCCTTCGCCGCTCTGGCTGGGTGCGCCAGCTATACATCCCACGATCCCCTACGACAGGATAGGTTTTCGCGGGGCACAACTTACTTTCCGTGAGGGGCTGTCACCACCCTCGGGGGCGTATCCCTACCGAGCTACTGACCCACGTGCGAAAACTTTTACATGCAATTGCAGAGGTAGCTCAGCCGAGGGCGTTTGCTCACTCGCTGAAGTATAGGTACGCTTGGTTAGCGCCAAGTGGACCCGAACGTTGTCCGTTTTCGAGGGCGCTGATCTCCTCGGTACGAACGAGCGTCGGTGGACTAGGACGGCCTCGACCAAACGTGAAACCCAACATATAATCTTAGTCCCTTTATAATCCCCTACTCATAAAATGAAAAAAATCAATACATAAACACCATTTCGACTTGATGAGATGGTCTGCCAAGGTTATCATTTTCTGCCTACTTGATCGAAGAGACAATTATACTGTCGTACGAAGACAGAAGATCCGTCGCGCACAACTTTTACAAGTAAATACCGCGGGTACCATGCAGATCAACAAGTGATCTGACTCCTGGTCGATGTTTGAACTCCCGGTTCGACCATATTGTCGTCTACTCGGAGGAGCGACTGACAATTCTGTCGGTCGATTTGTCCTCCTAGGCAACAATTACTCTCTCCGTTCCACGAATGACAAAGTACCCATCCCCGACACCAGATACTTGGCATGGAGATGTTTCATTTTCTGATACTTCGCCCTCGCCCTTTGCTCAACACCTTCTCAAGTGTTCGGTTTTCATTTTGCTCGGCTCATTTTTCAGCGATCGATTACCCCTCAATGCATAAGCATGATAGTGCCATCATCGGGGTAATCCAGATANGTGTTCGGTTTTCATTTTGCTCGGCTCATTTTTCAGCGATCGATTACCCCTCAATGCATAAGCATGATAGTGCCATCATCGGGGTAATCCAGATACTATCCATCTGGTTGGCCTACCTACGCAAGATTGTTGTTTTTTTTTGTTATTATTACCCTTGTAGAGTCACGTAGATGTGGCCCTACAAAAGAACAACTTACCACTGCACCTGACTCRAGAGGGTGCRCTCAGCCAGGATAAACCTGTYGGSCCTCACGGGCCTCAGCCTCTATCCGGTCGAGTCGCGTAARCTCCTCGTCATCAAAAGTYAAGGTGGAGACGCRTGCAMCCCGCGAGACTCGAACCTTCCGMGTATCATAGAGAGAAGYCATCCGTGAGGCGAGCTTCCAGACTATGGCGCGGAACGGCTGACGCATCCGAAACAGGTGTGTGGTCGTGGTGTYCTTAATCCGGACGACGCCGTAGCGCTCCCCGGATAGGRTAATTTTGACGCTCACAATGACCCGAGAGAGGCATTGGAGGTTGCTCGCGCGATGGAAGTACAAGGTACATCCATGAACTTCCTCCGGAAGTCGGGCCACATTGGCRCGAACATCCAYGCGCGAGTTAGGAAAGAATCCGTGTCCAWYGYTGAGCAGGCCGATAAAACMAATCCAGCGTGTGGRCGCTCCATCCCGAACCARTAATAATCGCTCCGCTCGCCGGATCAGCTCCTCGTCCGTAGTGTCGCGAATCAGTAGATATCTGGCCTGAGTGAGGTCTCGCCGTCCGCTAGGCATCTGCACACCGAAGAAGCCACCTGTTAGAARAGACACTCATAAATTTCACAAACCTCRTYATAAAACGCGGTGACGTCGAAACGTTCYGAGCGAATGATWTTAAATCTATTCGCTCGGACCCGTCTCACATGATGAAGGAGGCCGAACGGACCTTGCAAATCGTTCAAATGAAGTACAATATGGAGGAACATCCCACTAACCTCAGGAATGTTCTCTACTCCCGGACAGTCCTCGTAAACCACAACTAGGTTCATGTCTCCATAATCTCGTGATGRATTAGGAGGCGCAAAATYATATCGCACAATACRCTGGCCTGRCTCRACCAAGAAAACATAACTCCGCGGTGGTTTYCTCACRCTTCCGTTYCAGAATCGCGGCGCATCCCGTTCCRAGKAMACTTCAAGTGGGTTGTACACCAGCCTTCCTTTCCGTATCATGCCGGCGCGGGATCGTGTCRGCACYGCTAACCAATTASCSRCCGCCTCGCGTGTGCTGAACAATCGGAGAATCACTGTCTCCGCAARCATCTGAACGACGAAGCGGTAACTCTTGTCAAAATAATTCARACATACCCACTTTCATGTTCAATCTTCACTCCCCTTTTCGGRYCGTSATTCTTGTGTCACRGTCCGATTGCGAGAGTAGTGCCTATTTGCACTCCCGTAACACTAGTTGAATCACGGGCTGGGCTACTTGTGGCGCCGGCCCTCCCACACRTTGGTGGCTCCTAAAGYGGCCACCCRGCCGGGTACTAGATTCAGCCTCCCCTTTCCCTGAACGTACGAGGAGGCGACTGCCCCTAGCTTCAAGACACCCTTCCCTCTAGGAAGTGGTTTGGAATACCCCTCCCCCTCGCCCGAAAACATTGTTCAGGACTCAGAAGTTGGGCTGGCTCCACCGCAACAGCATGGTATCCCCCCGCAAAAGCGGTCCGCTCCGAGTCGATAAYAGGGCCGGCCCCTAAGGCAACGAACCCCCGCCTCAGATGCCTCATAGAGAGAAGAAGYCTAKACCCTAGGTGCAGACGACTGCTCTATGCCTTCCCGGCTAAGGGTCGACTTAGACGAATTGAGAAGAGAAAAAARTAAGATATTTTTGACGGGCATAGAAGGATAGTGGTCGTTCGGGATAGAATGGGGAAATCCTTGGGGAGATACTAAGGTGTTCCCTTGTCTTCTTTTCTTTTAATTTTCCCACGGCCTTCATTCTTTCGGCACCCGTCCGTTCGCACTTCCATTATTATTTTTGTTTCTCCTCTTTCCTGTCATATGCATTCAGGTTGAGTGGGAGAGAGGTAAGCATCCCCATTATTATCTCGAGCAAACAATGCTAATTCCTTCTCACATGCTTCTCCCAACCTACCTGCACAATCAAGAAAAAAYGATCCAAAGATTCATCCACCCCCAAAACAAGTCAGCCCTTTCTTGACACGCATGACATCACACTCTTGCTCTACCTCTTCCCCTGAATTCAAAGCAAGGTCATGCAAGGTGTGGGTTTACGCGGGTGTGCAAAGGAACTGAGTCGCACTGACCTTGAGTGAATTTTTTGAAGGCCCACTCAAGAAGCCAAATATGTTCTCAAGAAAAGTTAGGCCTCACGACCTTCGCTGTGGCCGTTCTCAAGGACGAGTCACACCCTGCTTCAAGTGTCACCACTGACTCAGGTGCCGCTCACCAACACAGAAGCGAGCTCACCGTTGAGGAGAGTGTCCCACTCTCAAATCCCACAGCCTCAACGTCACACCTTCCACCAAAAACAGCACCAATTCAACCCACCAAATACCAAGCCAGGTCGCCACTTGCCTGCCGCAATACTTGGTGGTCCCGGACCCAATCCCCGCTTACTCGGTATGCCGCAAAAGAAAAAAATAACAACGGCCTCAACAATTCTTACAAGCGCATTATGCCGCAACGCCGTCAACAAGACAATCGTCACACCCTTTCTGTTCCAAGGTGCACTTCCACCTTGGCGGTACCGTCCGTGCGACAACGTCTAACGCCCCTTCTCGCAGCCCTGTGCAAAATACTGTTGCCAGATAATCCAACAGCACCCTTGCCGTACCGCCAAGAAAATCGGTGCCCCCGCTGCAAGAATTTGGCAGCGCTTCCGCTGTACCGCGAAGAATACCAGCGCTGCGACCGCACAATTTCGGCAGTGCTTCCGCTGTTCCGCCAAGAATACCAGCGCTGCCGCCGCACAATTTCGGCAGCGCTCTCGCTGTTCCGCCAAGAATACCAGCGCTGCCGCCACACAATTTCGGCAACGCTTTCGCTGTTCCGCCAAGAAAACAGTTGTTGCTGCCGCAAAATTCGGCAGCGCTTCCGCCGCACCTCCCTAGAAAACCAGCAGCAACCTCAAGGTCACGACTTCTCCACAGTCTGCAGCACAGCACAGAAGGTGGGGCAAGAAGCTCCCAGCCTTTAGCTATGGCTGCCTCCTCCTTCCTCCAAGTGCTTTTGCAGACCTCCAGCACTTTGCCTCATCACACCGGCAGCCAGCCAGCCAGCATCTACTCAAGTAGAATGCCCCAGCAGCATTGCCACAAGTGTGAGGCTGCGGGGTGACAGGCTAGTTTTTATAGCTGGCTGAAGGCTGAGGGCAGCTGCTTTGCCCCCAGTCAAATCCCGGAACAGAGCCTGACCCTCGATCTAAATCGCGATCAAGGGCCAAGAAACTTGGTGTTCCCCTAGCGGAATCAAGGTCTGTACCCTGGTAATGCATCTGGCCTTCACCCGCGGCCAGACGCAGCCCAGAAACGGCTGTACTCAGCCATTCTCAAGCAGACTGTTGAAACGAACAGTCTGCTATCTATCCATAGTCGAGATGCTTCTAAACTTGCATCTGGACCGAGGCCGCGACTAAATCCGCGGCCGTTTCCCCTTTTTATTTTCAACTTCTCCCCCTTTTATTTTATTTTTCCTTTTTTTTTTCTCGTTTTTCTAAGGCAGGGTTAGCTCTTCGTTTGAAAACGAACGAGCACGTTCCCCTCCCTAAGTCATTTCACAGAGTCGAACTAGAGT